CCGTATGCTGGACTCAATAATGCTTTTTGGATTTCTGTAGTCTGGGTACTGATGATAAAAAACTTATTATTATAAATAACTAAGTATAACTATGTTCGTAAAATATGTTGAATACATTTAATCTTTTTTAAATCACATTATTATAGGCTGTATAGTGTTTTAACTTTTAAATAAAAATAAAAATGTATAGTGGGAATCTTTTAATACTTTTATCAKTATTCAACAAATTGTAAATTATAAAAAAAATTTCCAACTAAGAGGCGTTGCCTGTATTATGAAATCGGTTGTGTGTGAGGGGAGGGAGTAAAAATAAATTAAACTAAATTTATTACCACTTTTGTGTTCAAATGAATTAAACATTACATTAATTATAAGAAGAATAATGCTAATAGGTGAAGGGGAGTTAAACATYCAAAAMATCACCATGTCCACAAATCTGGTCTAACTTGTAATACAATTTGATATTTTTCATTATTAATTTCATTCAATTCATTAGATAATTTAACATATTGGCAGTATGGTGTGTGTTATTCTCTGATGATTTTATTTGTTAAATTGACAACATTCTGGTTTTAACCTTTTTATTTAAATTTTTTTTAAATTTTTTATGTTGTTAATACTCACTAAAGATTGTATGATATATCAGTCATTTCGAATTCAATGTTGTAATCTGTATCGTCACATGGCGTTGTATCCTTGAATACCAACTGATTGTTGGTACAAGGAAAACTGTTACCTGTTATATAAGGCTTGAAATTAAAATTTCAATATTTTTAATAAGTGTTTAATATTAAAATATTACATACAGAACAGCCCAGTTTGTAATGGGTTGTTTCCATTTATATAAACTGGAGTAGTCATTTGTAGATTCCATTTTCCTTGGAATGCAATGGTAGCCTATAAATATTAAATACCTTAATTAACTACTGTATAAGAGAATAATAAAATATTTTAACATAATCCAATAATTAAATGGACAGATCATAGAGAGAGAGAGTTAGGTGTCCAATGCTGTTAGTAGAGACCTAATCATCTATACTTATTAATATCGGTAGTGAGATAGAACAATAGAAGTTCACAAATAATAATTACAACATTATTTTTAAATAGGGGAAMGTCCGTAACAGTTTTACTCATTACCCAATAGTAATAATCGTGTACATTGTAATTGAATAGGCAATTGTAAATCATTTGATATTCGAAAAAAAGATTTTGAATAGTTATTATAATATGTATGTATTTATGTTAATTATTTTGAAATTTTTTTTATACATAACTGATACGGTAAAATTATAAGCAATATCACACAGTTAACTAACTTKTTTTGAAAATTTCGTAGTGTAAGTAATGTAGGATATAATAGAATTCATTAATGTTTAAAATAACCACAAAAAATAATTATGAATTTAAAAAAATAACTTAAATATTTGTACTTTTTAGGATTATTGAATTTTGTCAAAATTTGTACTTAAAATGCTTAAAAATAAATCGTCAATATGTATTTTTATATTTTTGATCTGAAATATAAAAAACTAATAAGGAACCTTGTAAGAACATTTCTAACTATTTCATTTGGTGAAAAAGTTTTATGGATGTTCATAGAAAAAAACTAAATATTTGAAATATCTATAAATAATTCAAATAGTGTTAAAGTAATTTGCAACTTATACATTGTTTAAAAAATAGTTGATATACAAATTAAGATTTTAAGCTTAAA